AGAGAGAGAGAGAGAGAGAGAGAGAGAGAGAGAACAATAAACATTAAGCAAAAAAAAAGATAAAAAAAAAAAAAAAAAAAAAAAAAAAAAAAAAGTCTAACAATTACATTAAAAATATTAAATAGATAATGCGAAACCACAATGTAACATGCTGACTAACGTTTAAAAAGGGGTCTACAACAGAACTTGAGCTTAAATTTGTGACAAATGTCAACTTACAAATCCATCACATTAAAGCCATCCTAGCTCAATATAGCCAACACACAAATTAGGCTATATGAATTTTCCACAAAAAAAAAAATACACTTTTGCTTGGCTGTAACAGGTAGCTGTTTTTATGAGGAAACTCATTTCTTCAGTTATTCTGCTAGAGCTTAGTTATATAAAGAAATATAATAAACATTGTATTTTTCTTTTCAGATCTTCTTAGCACTTTAAAACTGTTAACTTTGCACTTGCACACTACCATCAAGAAATTCAAAGGGAAAGGCAGACTATGCCTTATAGTGTTAATAAACACTTTTCCACAGTCTTCCTTCAAATGTATTTGTGATCAAACAACTTGAACTGACAGTTTCATTCTTTTTTCTTTTTTTGGTCTCAGTGAGCTGTCAGGAAAGGCACTAAGAAATGCAGTCAGTGGCACATTCTTATTTTGTTTCGAAACCTTTAGAATTGACTACTCTGGTAGGTCTACCTGATGAAACATCTCTTCCTCCTGGTGTACCTGAAAACCAGTAAATGGATAATGGCAATCAGATAAAAATGTGAATTTTTAGCTAAATATTTTTAACTATGGCAACTATTTTTATGGTAAATAAGTCATGGCATAATAATGGTAACTATTTCAATAGAAAACAATTTATATGGACAATGTAGAATGTCACTTTATTACCTGTGAGTCGTCTGCCTGCAGGAGAATAATCATATTAGAAGAGTGCACAAATGATTGGAGCTCTGTTTGTATTTGGCACAGCAGCTGGGCCCGAACTGAGTGACAGTGATGCCCCCTCCTGCTCATTTCTGGTATGACTGCCACTTCTATTTACAGACATCCTACATGTGGGACATGACATATCCTGCTCTAGCCAGGAACGCAAGCATGACCTGAAAACACACACGGGTACCAGCATCTTGGAGACCATTTAAAGAGATTTCCTAGGAAAATGTCTGATATATTTCCACAGCAAAGCATAATACTTTATTATAGTCACCCATTCAGCTCAGTGCTGCATGACAGATTATATTCACATACTGTAGAGGATTTAGCCATCATCTAGGGTGAATAAGTAATTTATTGTAACTAATAAATCCTGCTCTATCTGTAATGTGGTCATTTTCATACTTGTGGAAAAGGTGCCCACAGGGCAGTTTGTATGCTGTGTACATCTTTTCCGAGCAGATAGCACATCTGTCATCATGAGACGCCAGCTCTTCCATTGTAGCCATAGAAAACCTGCCAAGAGACATTATGATATAGGAGGCCCACCTTTTCTCACTTCATTACTGCAAATTGCCCAAACAGAGGGCACATATAACAGCTGTTACCTTACTCATGTACACAAATAAACCAACATACAGCATAATACACTACAGGGAAAAACAGAGTTTGAGAAACTTAAACTGATATTTCAGGAAATTCAGGTTCACTATAAGTAGCATTATTAACTATTATTTGAACCTTTTTACAGACTGTGACACATTTCCACATTTATTAATAGTAATAAAACAACTAAATGTTCCTCTTTCAATGGTTCATAATTAATATAATTAATAAAATATTTTTAAAATAAAAGTTAAAAAAAAACATGATTTGTCTCACCAGCATGTGGATATGATGCATCATATTTAGGAAAAGAATGCCTATCTCCATGACAAAGTCTGTGTAATAAATACAGGCCTCTTTATCTTCCCAGGAACCTTCACAGATCAGATCATACAGGTGAATTATGTACCTGAACAAAGGGAGATGTCATTTATAGCAGGCACTCAGCTTAAAGCACATACAGTGCCGCTTGAAAGTTTGTGAACCCTTTAGAATTTTCTATATTTCTGCATAAATATGACCCAAAACATAATCAGACTTTTGCACAAGTCCTGAAAAAGAGAGCCCAATCAAACAAGTGAAACAAAAATATGTTCTTTGTCATTTATTTATTCAGGAAAATGATACAATATTACATATCTGTGAGTGGCAAAAGTATGTGAATCTCTAGGATTAATTTGAAGGTGAAATTAGAGTCCATCTGTTCAGAGGTGTTTTTAATCAGTGAGATGACTATCAGGTGTAAGTGTGTGCCCTGTTTAATTTAAAGAACAGGGATTTATCAAAGTCTGATCATGTTTGTGGAAGTGTATCATGGCATGAACAAAGGAGATCTCTGAGGACCTCAGAAAAAAAGAGTTGCTGTTGCTCATCAGGCTAGAAAAGGTTTACAAAAACATCTCTAAAGAGTTTGGACTCCACCAATCCACAGTCAGACAGATTGTGTAGAAATGGAGGAGATTCAAGACCACTGTTACCCTCCCCAGGAGTGCTCCACCAACAAAGATCACTCCAAAAGCAAGACGTGTAATAGTCTGCAAGGTTGCAAAGGAACCCAGGGTAACTTCTAAGCAACTAAAGGCCTTTCTCACATTGGCTAATGTTAATGTTCATGAGTCCACCATCAGGAGAACACTGAACAACCACGGTGTGCATGGTGCATCCAAAAAGAACATTGCTGCCATTCTGCAGTTTGCTAAAGATCATGCGGACAAGCCACTACTGGATCCGGCTACTGGAGAAATGTTTTGTGGACAGATGAGACCAAAATAGAACTTTTTGGTTTAAATGAGAACTGTTATGTTTGAAGAAATTAACACACTGCATTCCAGCATAAGAACCTCATCCCATATGTGAAACATGGTGGTGCTGGTATCATGGTTTGGGCCTTTTTTACTGCATCTGGACCAGGACAGCTTGCCATCATTGATGGAACAATGAATTATAAATATGTCTGTTTATATTATATATAAATATATTTAATATATAAATGTAACATATTTTTCTTAAATATATACATGCACGGGTGTGTGTTTATATATACATAATAAATATACACAATACATATATATAATATGCAAACAAAAACTTTCATTTGGGATGCGATTAATCGCGATTAATCGTTTGACAGCACTAGTTTGAATAAAAAAGGTTAAGTTTTCATACAATGACATGCATCAATGATGAATATTAAATAATATAATAATCTAGTTTAAAGTACCTAAACGTGCCAAGTTCTTAGAAATAACTTCATATTCATGTTGGTTTCATACATTTAAAAAACCCTTTTGAAACATTTAACAACCGAGTTAATCATGCTAAAATTCAATGTACATGATGCATCATCATGCAAGTCCTGAAAAAAATCAAAGACAAAGAGAGCCCAATCAAACAAATGAAATGAAAACATATACTTTGTAATTTATTTATTCAGGAAAATGATCCAATATTACATTTCTGTGAGTGGCAAAAGTATGTGAATCTCTAGGATTGGCAGTTAATTTGAAGGTGAAATTAGAGTCCCATCTGTTTTTCAGTTGTTTTCAATCAGTGAAATTACTATCAGGTGTCGGCCTTTCTCACATTGGCTAATGTTAATGTTCATGAGTCCACCATCAGGAGAACACTGAACAACCACGGTGTGCATGGTGCATCCAAAAAGAACATTGCTGCCATTCTGCAGTTTGCTAAAGATCATGCGGACAAGCCACTACTGGATCCGGCTACTGGAGAAATGTTTTGTGGACAGATGAGACCAAAATAGAACTTTTTGGTTTAAATGAGAACTGTTATGTTTGAAGAAATTAACACACTGCATTCCAGCATAAGAACCTCATCCCATATGTGAAACATGGTGGTGCTGGTATCATGGTTTGGGCCTTTTTTACTGCATCTGGACCAGGACAGCTTGCCATCATTGATGGAACAATGAATTATAAATATGTCTGGACATCTGTCAGTGAACTAATTCTCAAGAAAAAGTGGGTCATGCAGCAAGACAACGACCCCAAGCACACAAGTTGTTCTACCAAAGAATGGTTAAAGAAGAACAAAGCAAATGTTTCGTAATGGTCAAGTCAAATTCCGGACCTTATTCCAATTGAAATTTTGTGGAAGGACCTGAAGCAAGCAGTTCATAGGAGGAAACCCACCAACATCACAGAGTTGAAGTGGTTCTGTACTGAG